GGGGACAACGTTAAAGCTAACATCCATGAATTTTCGTTTTCAAAGTGGAAGTAAAAACAAAAAAACCGGAAGAGAAGGGTTTTTACGTCAGAGAAAATGTTATAAAAAGTGTGTATCAACCAGTATTCATTTGTTCGTATTCACGCCTTAGACGGAGTGCATCCTACTCTCTCTCGACAACAAGGCTTGGCCAATGAACATACAGTTTTGATCATTTCCGCTCCGAATAATCAGTGAACTCCTCTAAACAGCTTATATCATCAACTAGTGCTTTCAACGTGTTCTAAAAGCCGAATAAACTGTTCGTGACTGCACTAAATAGTTTTTCCGAGATGCAAGATCACGGAGGAGCGCCAACAGCTGTTAAACTCAGCACCGTGCTGTCCTTTGATCAACTCCCACTGTGTTGGTCAGTGTTTAAGTTCCAGCCGCCTTTTGCTTGCGTTCTAAAGCCAAGCTGTGTTATGTGGGGGTCTCTTCCTTTGTGATCTCAATGCAGTCCCTTTTTATTTTTCACTTCTTAAAGCACCAAACTTCTTTGGTTTCTTAACTCCGAGCTTGGTGTTTTGACAACAAGATTGGAAATATTTAGGTGCAGTGAGTCAAACTCATAATCAAAGTACGCGTTGGTAGGGTGGATCTACATATCACAGCTGATGCAGTTAGATAACAAGCTAACAAAGTTAAGCGCAAAGCATGCCTTTTTTTAAACTTCGTTTGGGCACTGCACAAAGTATCTGAATGCTTACTTTAAAACCCCATAGCGCTGTTAAGCACAAGTAATAAACTTGTTTCTTACTCCCGTGTGTCTCAAGCCGTAAATTTACCCTAAATGTTTATAATTTGTTGTTTATACATGTGTCCTTTCCGCAATAATTTTATTAAAATTATATTGGTGCTAGTTAAGAATAAAAGATGATTTTTGCCGGTTTCTTTCCTTTATGTAAACAGAGCAGTTTGTTACCCGCTCTTATTTCATCGAGACCAGGATAAAAATCAACAAGTAATAATCCTCTGTAAAAGATTGCCCTAGTTTAATAATGAAAGTTTAGTAAGTCTCCTTGGATGAACTAGAAATCATAGAATAAAGAAAGTTTCTGACCGGGCAGATGTTTCCTACACGAAATTTAGATTTTTATTTTCGTTTGTCAGAATATAAAAATTATAGCTAGGTGAACGTTTCTTTTAGTTTTCAAATAAATGACTAATTATTAAGTTAACGAGGCGCAGTTCTTGGATTGAAGAAACTTTATTGAACATTCGCACGTTTGCTTTACCATAATTTCAAAGTTTTGTCTCAAAAAATTGTTCAGTTGTTCTTGTGTTTAATATACATTTTGGTCCTAAATGAGGCGCACCTCTCTATGTTTCGCCTAGTTTTTTCTTTCCTCAATATCAAACTGAGACCGTTTTAATTAACCTTGTTCGCAGTGAGTTCGATGCCATGAATTGGTGCCTTTCCCACGCTTAATATACCATCAATTCCTAGGTTCCCATCAGGCTTCGTTGTAGTCACTATCAGCAGCCGCCCCAGTAGGAAATCTTTACAACCAAAAAGAAGTGACCTTCTCGCAAAACACATGGAGTTAGTTTATTTACCCGAACAATGAACCTTGGAACAAAGGGAAAGCTCTGATGTATCACGCCATTCGTAGCATGTACCTTCAGTTGTTGAATACAAAGCTTTGGATCTTTTCCTTATTGAACTGAAAAACAAACGGACGATCGACATTTTGATTTAATTATTTTTCGCGTCCGACTGCTAAGCTTGATCTTGTACTCATACAAAACCGTTACGCCGAGAAACACGTCACAGTTATTTAACTTTTTAGTTACAACTGTTCTGTTTGTTAGTTTAAATCACAATAACTCGTAAAAACTTGTTAAAGTCGATATATTTCTTATCGCAGAAGAGGTCTGGCCTTAATTCGCGTTTAATTGTTCGTTTCTCTTATGTTCTAGAACTGTGTGGTGAAGTGTCTTTTTATAGAGGTTAGAAGCTTTCCGTTTTATTTCCGCAAACCACGTCGGTTTAGATTCAGTAATGTTTGTTTGTTTGCAAGCACTATTAACGGTCCATTATCTATTACACAAATCCGCTTCTTCTATTGAAGCAAATGCATTTAAAGGAGAACTGAAATGTTACCGCGAATCTGTCGACTCCCTCTCGCAATGTAAAAAATAAATCAGACATGCTCTAATGAAAAAGGTAACCACGGCAGATTTTTTATTCAGGCACCTCCAACAGTGCGGCAGGAAATACATCTCGGAACGTTGACATAAGATATTCAGAAGTGGACTGGAAAGAACAAAAAGCTAACTCCTTACTAATCACGAATTATAGTTCTTTTGAAGACAGTATGGGTTACTTGTGCATTGAGTATATTGTTCGATTGTGTCTCCCGCGTGTACTATCGCTTAAAAGGCGGAGCCACAACGACCTTTTGGACCAAGTTATTGGTTGCGAATTTAGCACCTCTTTGAAGCCAACAATAAAACATAGATTATTAACACAAACACTAAACACAATAAGGAACCGCACGACCAACCCCGACGGCTCTTTCATTTCACAGCACTTTGTTTGCAGGCGGAGGTTCTGATTGGTTCACGATGAAAAATGGTACACCACCGTATCAATTACTGTGCTTGGTTAACAGTATATCATGAATACTGACAACAAATTAAGAGCGCCGCTAACATAGACGACAGTCAGTCAGCTCCGGTCGTGTACTGTAGAATCGGTGGTATAAACGCACAGATCGACCGTCGACTGCAAGAATTCTGTACAGAGCTTGGTACAAGAACCAATTCAAGCCACATTAAAATGAAAGATAACAGTGATCAAGATTATCAAGAGCTGTGTTCTAAAGAAGCGCTGGACAGCTCGGAGGAAAAGATTTTCAAACACCAAGATGGCAAAGCAGCAGCAAGTCCTGCGAAGGATGGTGAAGAAGACAAAGAAGCCGGGCATGTGAAGGAAGATGGGCCAATGGCGAAGAATGAAGGCAAAGATGCGGAAGAGAAAAAATGCGAGAAGCCGCCATTTTCGTATAATGCCCTCATAATGATGGCAATTCGTGGGTCGCCCGAGAAGAGACTAACCCTAAGTGGTATCTATGATTTCATAATGAAGGTTGGTACACTTGATTCATCTTAAGCACCTACAACTAACATTAATCAATTTTTCTCGCCGTAATTGTTGGATTCGTTAACGCGCACCGTGGTATTTATCTCTTAGAGCCTTCAATTGAAATCAAAATCAAAACGAAAGCTTAAAATTTGAAACCTAAACGGTTCTACTTATGATTCTTTATACAGAATTTTCCCTACTACTGTAACAACAAGCAAGGCTGGCAGAACTCCATTAGACACAACCTATCGCTGAACAAATGCTTCGTCAAGATTCCCCGTCATTATGACGACCCTGGGAAAGGGAACTATTGGATGTTGGATCCCAGTGCTGACGATGTGGTTATCGGCGGAACGACAGGCAAACTAAAACGACGAAATCCGCCTTCCTCTAGAAACCGCGTGGCGCTGAAACGCCAGCAAAGAATCTCTCCAGTACCAGGCTATGCACTTGACCCTTCACAAGTAGGCTTCTACTCTGGTTTCTGGCCTCATCCACCCTCTATGTTCCCGGCACCTTTGTCGCCTCAAATGAGAAGACACAGCTTAGTGGGAATGTCTTGCACCATGAACTGCAGCTCGTCCCTCCCACATCCAACACCGGTTCTTCCACACCCAACCCCCAGTGCCAGATGCCTCGTCCCCTCATCACCAGAGATGGCCTTCCCAAGTCATTGCCACGGGTTTGGATTTCTGCAGCCCTCTTGCCCACAAACAGGCCTTTTCTCTCTCGGCCACCCACGCTCCCCACTGGAATCACAATGGCCAACTTCGATGTCATCATCTCCATTTCTACAAGACAGGTTTATGGTGAACAATGATTCGATATTTCAGTCTGCGTTCAGTACAGTACCTAAGCTAACGTTCGGTACTCCCACATTAAGATCTAACTTCCCTTTCTTAAAAGAGAGCGCTTCCCAAGTTTCGCGCACGCCTTTTCTTTCGGATTGCAAATGAACGTTGGAGGTTTTAGTGAAATAGAAATGATTATTTAAGTTTAGAGACAAGTATAAATATCACACAAGAAAAAATGGATTGTGTTTTGTAAATATGTATTTGAAGTTAGGGTTGCCAGCAACAGTGGACATATTAATTCCAATTAACTGACTCGAGGTCAAATAGTTGTATTGGTTTATCCACTTTGTTAGCTCTATTTTCGTTAATTAAGTGCAACTTTGCGTTATCATTAATACCACGTTGAAGCCCACGAGCAAAATACCAGTTAAAGAAAATTATTTTACACATCAATGACGACCAGACGACCAGATAGTGCAAATTTTCGCTACTTTACTCTGTTAGTTGGCACGTCTTTCCGTGAATGTAAGCAAATAACAAATAATTATTTATGGCCGCAATGTGTCTGCGTAATTCAATTACCGCATTAAAAATTTAACGATAGTTTTTTTTGTCTATGTATGTGAGTTTTAACTGTTTGCCAACGAATTACAGTCCATTCAATAAACTCTCCAGTGATAAAAATCCACGGATTAAACACACGCCTTAGCACACGCCATAAACAGTACCAGAACAAGATTTTTTGTCAGTAATATTACTGAATTTTGTTGACCATTTAGCCTCACAAAACTTTACAACGCCAAGAAGCCATTTTACATTTTGTGATTACAGTCTTTTAATATTGTTACTGTCGAAAGTGATTTTCATCTGCTATACAAAACTAATTTCTTGCTATATTAACTAATAAGATAAATTCTTGAAGAAGAAACAGCAGTTGTTTGATGGATTGATTTGGTCGCGAACTCGCCTCTCAGTTGTCGTTTTACATTTAGTGGCGTTAAATGTATTTTTCTCTGCCCCTATTCTAGCAGAGTCTGTTAATTGCTGGAAGCAATTAGCAGAAAATGTACTCTGTAAAGCTTTGCTGAGCGTAATTAGCACCTTCAAGTGCAGCTTATCAACGCTTTATTTTAATGACCACTCGGCAAAGTCCACTGCAATAAATCACAGTGTCTCACAGAAGCTGCCAAATCTTCGTGTTGTTAACCCGTCTTTTAAGAAGTTTTGTGCCTGCAGCTCCAAGAGGTCAAGTGTGAACGAGTTCACTTTTTCTCGATAACCCTGTGGAGTTATTTGTTTGCGAAACGGACAATGGCCCAGCGTGGAAGACATATGAGCTGCGACTTAGTCACATTCATATGCTAATTTACCCTAAGAGCGTTTTTACACACACTTCAATGGCTAAAACAAATAACATAATGGCTGGAGTCCTGTAGTGTTCTTTTAGTTCGCAGAGTTCATTATTTAGTTAGTCTTCCATTGTTTGAGCACTGTGGGCCCCCCTTTGTTTACCGAGCTCTTCGACGTGTGTTGTGTAACATTGGGGAGGCCTATTTACAACATGTATGAGCCCAACTACAGAGTAATTTTCTTAATTAAGACATCCCCCATCCATAATGCCTGCAGTAATGTTTTGTGTCTTCGCTTTTTGTATAAATAGCAAATTCACATTGAAGTAAACAACTGGCATTTTGGAGAGTCAATCTCCAAATGGACTGTTGAAAGATGACAATTTTCGCAAACTTTTTCAGTTTAACAATACTTTCAATGCCCGCGTGGGTCAGTAACTTTTAAAAACGTCTAAGCATTACTGCTCTAAAGTTATTTTCTGGTCAACACTCGATCAATCAAGCATATGGTAGCAACTAGGAGTCAACAAACCAAGACTAAACAAAAGCGCCAATTGGCCTTAACATTGAAAAGTGGCCGTAAAATAAATTGGCCAATCGCACGATGTTGTAGCTATCAGCATCCTGATTGCTCGTCTATTCAACTTAAAAGCAAGTTAACACGTACAAAGTGCCTTTATCTTTTGTTAAAATACATGATCCTTGTTGAAAATAATTATAGTAAAGTTATTCCTTAAGGCAATCCTAGAACGGCTAACATAAACAGTTGGATTGACAATCATGACTGCAAGACAAACTTAGTTACTGAGTTTGAGGTTAAATTCGGCTCACACCCGGCTTCGCAAAACCAAGCCTTTCCTTCCTCTTTTCGTAGTTCTGCCTGACTCTGTCAAGATGTTATATGTAACGTTGCTTTTACTGCCGCTTACTTTTGCTTCTGAGCAGGTAGCTATAGAAGTGTTGGGGCCTTCCAGGTCCTTCCAGGTCCTCGTCATATCTACCCTCTATGCTACACTTGCCCCGTTTGAACGAGTCCTTTTTACAGTATGTACCATTCACGCATAACGAGCATAGCATGGCTATCCGCCGGCTGGGGCAAATAGAAAGCCGTGTTTCCTTGACCGTCTAAAGTGAAGTGAAAGTGAAGTGAAACTTGGGCTTGTCTCGAGGCTAATTAAATCGTTCCCCTTTGCGCAAACATTCACACCCATGCTTGGGTTCGTGGCCAAACGAGGCGCAATTGTTTTTTAAACTGTGCACCTCATACAAAAGCAGGGATTCCCGCTGAAGCGCCTAGATCCGAAAGATCACGGAACATGGTTTTTGTGTCTTTTGTAAAAAAGACTGTCATTTCACCTGTGCAAAGCGTTATGCCGAGAATTGTTCACCAGTTCTAAACACTTTTAAATATTTTCGTATCTGTTTCCTTCAAACATTCGAGTTTTAACAATGTTCGTGTTTGCACTGTTAGTAAGTTATCTCGGCGGGGAGGTAGCTATATATACAGCAAGCTTGATCATCGCGCGTTTTGAAAACACAACAATACTCCTGGCATGTAGGCTCTGCGTGTTGCCCTTGTTAACGCACGTTGATGGAGAGCTCAATTTCCGGTCAATTTGACTTATTTTTAATGCATATCCCTTCCGTAGAATTAATACTTCTATCTCTAAATACTTATGGATAACTGATGACGAGTTTTAGATAAGGACGAGCTGAAAAGGAGAAGAAAAAATTTGTACAGCTGGGCATCTGGTGAGAGAATTGGTTTACGTGGGGGCGCCAGCGACAGCAGGGCAGAATGACGCAATGAGGAAACTATCCACACGCTATGCTGATATGAAATAAAGTGGTATATTTAAATAAGGTGTAATATGTTTTGATTCATTATTCAAACTATCAGCCGTTTTTTAGCGCAGTCTGAGATCACTGTTGGATAGAAATCTGGCAGTTATTCCTAGAGTTTTGTTCACAGCTGGTTTTCATGAAAGCGTAAAAGACAATTGCAAAGAAGGTAAACTACCTTCTTGTGCCCGCATTTTTAAGAATTAAGTGACAATTGAGAAATTTAGATCAGGTACATAAATGTTCTTATAATAAACAGATGTTCTGGGCATTAACGATGATGTATTTAATGGCTGTAGAATTTTCAGGGGAAGAAAAATATGTAACTAAAGATATGACATAAACTAAAGTAATTTTAGCAGCAGTTTTTCTGTAGCATTGTTTAGTAACGCAGCCCTTTCATCAGCGTTAAATGTTTTAAATGATATACGCGATGTGCGGCAAACTTGTCCGCAAGTTTGCTTTATTTCTTCAAGAAGACACGTTCTCACAACCCCGGAAAAATTAGGTCAAAGTTATTCGAGGGGGAGTTAAAAAGTTAAGCGCAAAGGAAACTTGGTTTAAGTCGATGAACTAGAGTTTTCTGGTCTTTTCTAGTATTCAAAGACCAAGGTAAAAAAAATTATATATATATATCGACCGTTATGATCACGGTCTGTTAAAAGCGCCTGGAAAAAGAATCTAATGAAGGGAAAAATTTTGCATTGTGATCAAAAGAAAATATTTAAGATCATTCCAGAAACAACGGCATNAAGAACCAATTCAAGCCACATTAAAATGAAAGATAACAGTGATCAAGATTATCAAGAGCTGTGTTCTAAAGAAGCGCTGGACAGCTCGGAGGAAAAGATTTTCAAACACCAAGATGGCAAAGCAGCAGCAAGTCCTGCGAAGGATGGTGAAGAAGACAAAGAAGCCGGGCATGTGAAGGAAGATGGGCCAATGGCGAAGAATGAAGGCAAAGATGCGGAAGAGAAAAAATGCGAGAAGCCGCCATTTTCGTATAATGCCCTCATAATGATGGCAATTCGTGGGTCGCCCGAGAAGAGACTAACCCTAAGTGGTATCTATGATTTCATAATGAAGGTTGGTACACTTGATTCATCTTAAGCACCTACAACTAACATTAATCAATTTTTCTCGCCGTAATTGTTGGATTCGTTAACGCGCACCGTGGTATTTATCTCTTAGAGCCTTCAATTGAAATCAAAATCAAAACGAAAGCTTAAAATTTGAAACCTAAACGGTTCTACTTATGATTCTTTATACAGAATTTTCCCTACTACTGTAACAACAAGCAAGGCTGGCAGAACTCCATTAGACACAACCTATCGCTGAACAAATGCTTCGTCAAGATTCCCCGTCATTATGACGACCCTGGGAAAGGGAACTATTGGATGTTGGATCCCAGTGCTGACGATGTGGTTATCGGCGGAACGACAGGCAAACTAAAACGACGAAATCCGCCTTCCTCTAGAAACCGCGTGGCGCTGAAACGCCAGCAAAGAATCTCTCCAGTACCAGGCTATGCACTTGACCCTTCACAAGTAGGCTTCTACTCTGGTTTCTGGCCTCATCCACCCTCTATGTTCCCGGCACCTTTGTCGCCTCAAATGAGAAGACACAGCTTAGTGGGAATGTCTTGCACCATGAACTGCAGCTCGTCCCTCCCACATCCAACACCGGTTCTTCCACACCCAACCCCCAGTGCCAGATGCCTCGTCCCCTCATCACCAGAGATGGCCTTCCCAAGTCATTGCCACGGGTTTGGATTTCTGCAGCCCTCTTGCCCACAAACAGGCCTTTTCTCTCTCGGCCACCCACGCTCCCCACTGGAATCACAATGGCCAACTTCGATGTCATCATCTCCATTTCTACAAGACAGGTTTATGGTGAACAATGATTCGATATTTCAGTCTGCGTTCAGTACAGTACCTAAGCTAACGTTCGGTACTCCCACATTAAGATCTAACTTCCCTTTCTTAAAAGAGAGCGCTTCCCAAGTTTCGCGCACGCCTTTTCTTTCGGATTGCAAATGAACGTTGGAGGTTTTAGTGAAATAGAAATGATTATTTAAGTTTAGAGACAAGTATAAATATCACACAAGAAAAAATGGATTGTGTTTTGTAAATATGTATTTGAAGTTAGGGTTGCCAGCAACAGTGGACATATTAATTCCAATTAACTGACTCGAGGTCAAATAGTTGTATTGGTTTATCCACTTTGTTAGCTCTATTTTCGTTAATTAAGTGCAACTTTGCGTTATCATTAATACCACGTTGAAGCCCACGAGCAAAATACCAGTTAAAGAAAATTATTTTACACATCAATGACGACCAGACGACCAGATAGTGCAAATTTTCGCTACTTTACTCTGTTAGTTGGCACGTCTTTCCGTGAATGTAAGCAAATAACAAATAATTATTTATGGCCGCAATGTGTCTGCGTAATTCAATTACCGCATTAAAAATTTAACGATAGTTTTTTTTGTCTATGTATGTGAGTTTTAACTGTTTGCCAACGAATTACAGTCCATTCAATAAACTCTCCAGTGATAAAAATCCACGGATTAAACACACGCCTTAGCACACGCCATAAACAGTACCAGAACAAGATTTTTTGTCAGTAATATTACTGAATTTTGTTGACCATTTAGCCTCACAAAACTTTACAACGCCAAGAAGCCATTTTACATTTTGTGATTACAGTCTTTTAATATTGTTACTGTCGAAAGTGATTTTCATCTGCTATACAAAACTAATTTCTTGCTATATTAACTAATAAGATAAATTCTTGAAGAAGAAACAGCAGTTGTTTGATGGATTGATTTGGTCGCGAACTCGCCTCTCAGTTGTCGTTTTACATTTAGTGGCGTTAAATGTATTTTTCTCTGCCCCTATTCTAGCAGAGTCTGTTAATTGCTGGAAGCAATTAGCAGAAAATGTACTCTGTAAAGCTTTGCTGAGCGTAATTAGCACCTTCAAGTGCAGCTTATCAACGCTTTATTTTAATGACCACTCGGCAAAGTCCACAGGCAATAAATCACAGTGTCTCACAGAAGCTGCCAAATCTTCGTGTTGTTAACCCGTCTTTTAAGAAGTTTTGTGCCTGCAGCTCCAAGAGGTCAAGTGTGAACGAGTTCACTTTTTCTCGATAACCCTGTGGAGTTATTTGTTTGCGAAACGGACAATGGCCCAGCGTGGAAGACATATGAGCTGCGACTTAGTCACATTCATATGCTAATTTACCCTAAGAGCGTTTTTACACACACTTCAATGGCTAAAACAAATAACATAATGGCTGGAGTCCTGTAGTGTTCTTTTAGTTCGCAGAGTTCATTATTTAGTTAGTCTTCCATTGTTTGAGCACTGTGGGCCCCCCTTTGTTTACCGAGCTCTTCGACGTGTGTTGTGTAACATTGGGGAGGCCTATTTACAACATGTATGAGCCCAACTACAGAGTAATTTTCTTAATTAAGACATCCCCCATCCATAATGCCTGCAGTAATGTTTTGTGTCTTCGCTTTTTGTATAAATAGCAAATTCACATTGAAGTAAACAACTGGCATTTTGGAGAGTCAATCTCCAAATGGACTGTTGAAAGATGACAATTTTCGCAGACTTTTTCAGTTTAACAATACTTTCAATGCCCGCGTGGGTCAGTAACTTTTAAAAACGTCTAAGCATTACTGCTCTAAAGTTATTTTCTGGTCAACACTCGATCAATCAAGCATATGGTAGCAACTAGGAGTCAACAAACCAAGACTAAACAAAAGCGCCAATTGGCCTTAACATTGAAAAGTGGCCGTAAAATAAATTGGCCAATCGCACGATGTTGTAGCTATCAGCATCCTGATTGCTCGTCTATTCAACTTAAAAGCAAGTTAACACGTACAAAGTGCCTTTATCTTTTGTTAAAATACATGATCCTTGTTGAAAATAATTATAGTAAAGTTATTCCTTAAGGCAATCCTAGAACGGCTAACATAAACAGTTGGATTGACAATCATGACTGCAAGACAAACTTAGTTACTGAGTTTGAGGTTAAATTCGGCTCACACCCGGCTTCGCAAAACCAAGCCTTTCCTTCCTCTTTTCGTAGTTCTGCCTGACTCTGTCAAGATGTTATATGTAACGTTGCTTTTACTGCCGCTTACTTTTGCTTCTGAGCAGGTAGCTATAGAAGTGTTGGGGCCTTCCAGGTCCTTCCAGGTCCTCGTCATATCTACCCTCTATGCTACACTTGCCCCGTTTGAACGAGTCCTTTTTACAGTATGTACCATTCACGCATAACGAGCATAGCATGGCTATCCGCCGGCTGGGGCAAATAGAAAGCCGTGTTTCCTTGACCGTCTAAAGTGAAGTGAAAGTGAAGTGAAACTTGGGCTTGTCTCGAGGCTAATTAAATCGTTCCCCTTTGCGCAAACATTCACACCCATGCTTGGGTTCGTGGCCAAACGAGGCGCAATTGTTTTTTAAACTGTGCACCTCATACAAAAGCAGGGATTCCCGCTGAAGCGCCTAGATCCGAAAGATCACGGAACATGGTTTTTGTGTCTTTTGTAAAAAAGACTGTCATTTCACCTGTGCAAAGCGTTATGCCGAGAATTGTTCACCAGTTCTAAACACTTTTAAATATTTTCGTATCTGTTTCCTTCAAACATTCGAGTTTTAACAATGTTCGTGTTTGCACTGTTAGTAAGTTATCTCGGCGGGGAGGTAGCTATATATACAGCAAGCTTGATCATCGCGCGTTTTGAAAACACAACAATACTCCTGGCATGTAGGCTCTGCGTGTTGCCCTTGTTAACGCACGTTGATGGAGAGCTCAATTTCCGGTCAATTTGACTTATTTTTAATGCATATCCCTTCCGTAGAATTAATACTTCTATCTCTAAATACTTATGGATAACTGATGACGAGTTTTAGATAAGGACGAGCTGAAAAGGAGAAGAAAAAATTTGTACAGCTGGGCATCTGGTGAGAGAATTGGTTTACGTGGGGGCGCCAGCGACAGCAGGGCAGAATGACGCAATGAGGAAACTATCCACACGCTATGCTGATATGAAATAAAGTGGTATATTTAAATAAGGTGTAATATGTTTTGATTCATTATTCAAACTATCAGCCGTTTTTTAGCGCAGTCTGAGATCACTGTTGGATAGAAATCTGGCAGTTATTCCTAGAGTTTTGTTCACAGCTGGTTTTCATGAAAGCGTAAAAGACAATTGCAAAGAAGGTAAACTACCTTCTTGTACCCGCATTTTTAAGAATTAAGTGACAATTGAGAAATTTAGATCAGGTACATAAATGTTCTTATAATAAACAGATGTTCTGGGCTTTAACGATGATGTATTTAATGGCTGTAGAATTTTCAGGGGAAGAAAAATATGTAACTAAAGATATGACATAAACTAAAGTAATTTTAGCAGCAGTTTTTCTGTAGCATTGTTTAGTAACGCAGCCCTTTCATCAGCGTTAAATGTTTTAAATGATATACGCGATGTGCGGCAAACTTGTCCGCAAGTTTGCTTTATTTCTTCAAGAAGACACGTTCTCACAACCCCGGAAAAATTAGGTCAAAGTTATTCGAGGGGGAGTTAAAAAGTTAAGCGCAAAGGAAACTTGGTTTAAGTCGATGAACTAGAGTTTTCTGGTCTTTTCTAGTATTCAAAGACCAAGGTAAAAAAAATTATATATATATATCGACCGTTATGATCACGGTCTGTTAAAAGCGCCTGGAAAAAGAATCTAATGAAGGGAAAAATTTTGCATTGTGATCAAAAGAAAATATTTAAGATCATTCCAGAAACAACGGCATACGTCCTACCTCGCATTTTGTTCGCCTCAAGTACTCCCCGGGATTTTGGACTATGTATCGGCAGGATGTAGAAAAATACTTTTAAGAACTCCACAACCAATACAATGTAGAGCAATTTTTCGCTGTTGACCATGGCATTTGTGCACTTTGTTCTTCGCAATAACAGCTCGAGATAACAATTATTGGGGCATAGAAACATGAAATACTGAGGAGCCAAATGATTTATTTCATAGCTAGCCACATTCTACTCTAGTAATATCTTGTAGCTTTGAATGAACAGAGCACAGTCACCTGAATTTTGTTATGAAAGTCAGTTTTACGGGACTCTAAGATGCCCGTAATGACTCCATTTTGTCGCACGAACGTCTCTTAGATGAGTTAAGTAAAGCATAGAATTTTAGGTGGGCAAACAAAATGAAGATTCCATGGCAGAAAAAACTGAACATTTCAAAGCACTCGTTCAATTGAAAATTGACGATTCCTCAGCCATTGCTGATCATACGAAAACCACTGGTCTTAACATAAAATGGGATCATATTGACATTGCAGTTTGCGTCCTGCTAAACTGACTTTCATCTTATTTCCTTTTGTATAGCATTCTTCTACACGTAGTAAAGTTTATTTGACCTCAATGATTTCGATTTTTATTATAGTTGAGCAAATGTAATAATTATGACAACCTTTTTTTAGGAGTTCACGTGAATTGAATCGAAGGAAAATTGCTGTCTTTCTTCTTTGTGCTAAAGCTCAGCGAAGAAGCAAAACAACAAATAAGGTTACCACGATTTCAAACAGTGCAAAGGTCCAACGTAGGACTATAATTAAAATACTACTGTTTTTACCTCATTCTACGTTTTACGTGACCCAATATTAACCTCCCTTGCGATCTATTGTCAAAATTAATGAAAGCTGTTGTTTACTCTTACATTTCTGCTTTTAACTATAAATTATACGGGCAACTACTTCTACAAATTTCGAATCCTTTGAATACTGTTGCGTAAATTATTATTTCACTGTTTGCCTTCAACGGTACATTATCATTATCATTATCACGTCGATAATTTTGACATCCATAAATGAAATTTATTAATTTTTAAAACACACATTAAGCTTGACCTATTGAATGCGAAAATCGTGGTCCAAACAAATAGTTATTATTTGTAATAGCTTCCTTTGATTCCAAACTTTTTGTCTTTTTAAGTTAGTTCATTACTTTAGCTATGTAATCAGTGCGAGCTTCTTTGCAGAAGCGCTGTTTTCTTTTGTTTCCTTACGTACTGCAATAGTACCTGTGCTTTCAAAAACACTGGACTACAATACTTTTGTGCAGTACTGTAATCGTTCTTTTTCTACGCGAGTTTACAAACAACTGCCATATTTTATTTTGCCTTATATAAAACCTTGCCCATGGTTACGGTCGAAACAAAAAATATTTGCTTCTCAAATATTTCCATTTTATTTTGAAAACTAAACGAAAAACGTTCAAACCACGCCTTTTGTCAGCAGGTACGAAAAAGAACACTGTTTATTTGAATCTTCTCACGGGTGATCGAATTTAAGAATTGTTTGTTCGGGCACACTGAACGTAATTATTTTTTTCTGTTTTTCGCAGCTCCGTGCTATCAGGTCA